CAGGGGTCGAAAAAAACCGTGCCCATAGCAGGTCATGCGGAGGCAACGCCCTTGCAGATGCTGGAGCCTCAAAGCTTTTGGATTCGAGGGCCGTTCGCAATTCCGTTTGTCCAGGCGCTGGTGGCTCACCAGCCACGGTTTCGCTCCAGCCGTCTACGAGGTGACTGTGAGAGTGGATGCAGCCTGCATTTCGCCTGCATTCCGCCATTTCTTGGTGCGCACAAATCATGTACAGTGCGTTATAGAGAGATCTTTGAGCAACTAGCTGTCCTGGCAGACAGGCCATGCGGAAAAGCGGTGCCGGCGGCCTCGGGAGTGGAGCCCAGTCTCCTAGTATTGGGGACACAGGTCGTGGCATTTAAGGGGGCCGGATGAGCAGCCGTCATCAACTCAGGCTGTACCAGAACACCTTCCCAAACCTTGCAGAGTGGACCATCGGCGACTTTCCATGGATGGCCCGGAGCCCTGAGTTCAAGGGATCCGAGAACGGAAAGGGGTTTCCTGGAATCTGCGATCCAGAAGTTCTCCTGCAAAGGCCAGGGCTCGCATCTTCGTCACTGCTGTGAACCAAGACACAGGCGCGCTCAGTCACGCACTTACACTCCCACGTTTGCGGTTTTTTCTTGGCTGCCTTGACGGCATCGTTTCTGAGAATCTGTTGTGGGACTCAGGTCCGTCGCCGGTGCAGTCGGCTGTGATCATGCGCAAAGTCTGCTCCGCCCACTGCCTCAGGCCTCGCCTGCGTTTCGTGCAGTCTGCGACCACATGCTTCTCATCTGCGGATTCGAAAGAGCGAGGTGCGACTCCGAAGGAGCGTGCCTGGCCTGTGACAGTGGCTACGTGCTGGAAGTCGGGCGCCCAGGAGCATAAGAGTGTAGAGGCTTGAGCTGCTTGCAATCACAGCATGACTATCACTTCAGCTCTCATAAACCGCCGGCCGCCGCGCCCATCACAGCAGGAACGCGAGCAAGACCAACACCAGGTCGGTCCGACCTGGCTTGGTTCGAGACTGTTTCTTCTCTGTGCATTCCTCCGCGCGGATGAAGTCGCTGATCAGGCGCTTGCGACAGGGCACAAGTTCCGGGTTTGCCTGCCTGGGTCCTGGACTGCAGCTGAAGCTTCGCCTCTGCTGTGTAAATTGGTGCATGTTTGCATGGTTGAGGCCCTGTGGTGACGGATGTGCACAGTGCCACAAGTCAGGCAAGAGTTTCGAGAAACTGCATGATGTTGTAAGTGGGGATTGAGCGGGCATGTCGCCACCGACATGGTATGAAAAGATGGCGGGGTGCAGTAGTAGGTGGTCGCATGATCCAAGTTAAAATGTAATCTGCCAGCAAGTTTGCCGACAACTAAGAGTCGAGGACGTGTAGTCAGGGCCGGGAATGTGCTGAACATTCGCAAAGAACGGGTGCCAAGAGGAAGCCGTAGTGGTCTGCGCTAGTGCACTTGTCCCATGCTTTATCACATTTCATATGTTGATAGTACGGTTGAGCCAACCAATACTTTTCTCCTACAAGCGAAGCGGGGCCCGAGTGCACACACAATTTCGGCCACGTTCAGGCAAAACAAATTTAGACAGTAGCCCTAATGAGTATCTGCAATAGGCACTATGTTTTCCTTCGTGATGCCTGCCGTGAATTGCTTTTCTTGGGCTCTCAAGTTTTTGCCAGTACGAATATACAAATGAGATTGGTTGAAAGTGAAGGCGGCTTGACATGTGGTTGCTGTTGTTGCATGTCCTGGAAGAAGCTAGCCTGCGCAGCTGGAGGCCCTGGGCGTTGCGATGAAGGGAAATGCGTCCTAGGCCTGGAAAGCTGCAGTGAGATAAGATCAGATGAGCTCCGCTGTTTCCGTGTGCCTCCAAACGCGCCAGGGCGTGGGCTTTCGTTGACCGGCCAGTGCCGTGAAGCTCAGTGCAGAATGTCACACCATGCACATGTATTGGGGTCTGCCCCCACTCAGTAACAGTCGGATAATGTTTCTGTTAGTGATATATTCGGCCCTGAATAGTAGCCCTATTATAGACTGTTACTGTATGGGGGCAGTACCCCACACATGTACAGCGTACAGATGCGTACAGCCTGTTGGGCATGAGACTTGAAAGCTTGGATCGAAGTCTTTCTGTTTGCCGGGTTTCTCTTCAGGTGCATTGAGGCTTAAACTAATGGCAATACGAAGCTTCTCGGTGTAGCACAAGAGGTTCAAGCGCAATACGCATTGTGTTTTCAGGCCTTTAGCGGAGATCTCCGCTATCGTCTCAGAACGAAGTTGGAACTGGTCCAAGTGCTGAGGTGTTCCATGTGCTGGAAGCATCTGCTCGGGCTGCGACGAGGAGGTGCCGCCTGAACATGACAGAAGCAATCTCCCAGACCTGATGACTCGCTGGGATGATGGCGCTTCTTTTGCTGCATCTTCGAGCCTTGCAAGACTCCAGCACAGGCCACAAGCCTGGGCTGGGCGCCCAGGAAAGTCTCTTGGGACAAACAGAAGCCTGAGCTCTTCGCGTCGGATTCGCCGCCCAGTCATGTCGGGCAGGGTTGTGTCGCTTATGAGCTGTCTCACACAAGCAGACAGCAAAGCATCAGAGAGTAGGGTTGAGGATGGATGGAGTTTGGGTTTCCCCGAGGTGGTTCTGCCGCTGACAGTGTTGGAACTCCAACAGAGCTCCCTTGCCACTGCCTCGGACATGCTTTGTTTGGCCAATCGCTTCTTAAAAAGGATGGTGATACTTGCGATAGAGGGGGATCCGCCAGCTGTGTCAGGTCGTCGCTGCCCTGCCACCTTCGGCCTCACGAAAGACCGCCGGAGTTGCGAGTTCGGGTCCTGGGCTCCAAAAGGAACCTCTGTGCGGAAATCTGCACCAAGAGAAATGCCCATCTTGGTTCAGGCCATGTCAAGTTCGCGGCTGCCGGCGATGCGATGCACTCCTGGACTTCTGCCAGGCCAGTCTCAGCACATGCCGAAGGCTTTACTAGAATCTGGAAGCTCGCTGTGAAAAGGCTGTCACACACACGCTCAATTGACAGCAGGCGTAGCAAGGGAGCTTTCCAACTTGAAAACTCTAGACTCTAGACCTCACGGAATCTTCAGCGTGGAGATGTCGTACTTTGGTTCAATGAGCTAGCTGACCCAAGCTGCTTCAGCCGGGAAGCCAACATCACGAGTCACATGCTTCATCGCATGAAGCTTGGCATATGTCGGAGGACGATGTTTACGCTTGATAACCATGAGGATCAACTGTAAGCTTGGGTTCGCCTCGAGCAGAGGAAGATTCAGACACTTTGCAACGACACTCGCAAGAGATGTTAGGAGCACTGAGCGGCACCGCACAGATTCTCTTGTCACGATTGTTTGTGCTATTCAGGAATGCGTGGAAGGCTCGACACTCAAGAACAGGAGCGATGGCACCAGAATTGTACAGGACTGCTCTAAAGACTTGCTGCCTCGGTGGGGTTCGCTTAGGACCTAGGAGTTGCGGTCCGTTTGCGTCGTCGAAGCACTGACTTTCTCCGAATTTGATGCGCGCATACGGCCACCTGGTGCGCGAGGACTGCCTGAGCTGCGCCGATCACTGTTCCAGGCCGGCCGAGCAGAACGTCATACTGTCGCCGGCAGTGGGATGCAGAAACTGCAATTCGTCAACAAAGCTGGGTCGGCGTTCAGGTGCGAGCTGCTGGGAGAAGGCCGCTGTGATCCAGAGCGCTGCGACCAGGGCTTCAGCCTGACACCCACAGGAGACCGGACGGAGACCGTCTTCGACTCTCAGTAATCTCTCAAGCTGTCTCAAGCTGTACCCGCAAGCCTTTTCTTGCCAGCAGACAACTGTTGAAACCCTTGATGCTGACTGACACGAGGAGTGTGCGCCCCCTGCTCCATGCACTGCTCCAACTGCAGCCTCTCGAACTGAAGAGCTGCATTTTGAGGTTGCCTCACTTGTCGGCAGAATCTCTAGTACACTGACCTGTTTGTTGGCCTGTTCTTTGATGGATAAGGACGCGACCAGGACGGTTGAGTTTTGAAAGCATGCAAAAGGGATCCTGGACGGCCCTTCCGCTTGTTTCTAACACTTGTGCAAAGAAAGGGTGGTTAAAAGAATTTTGTGCCACTCATGTGCCGCACGTTTCGAGCACATGTGAGCAGTCACCAGCGTGGCGTTCTGCTTGTGATTCCGCCTCCAGGCAAAGCGGGACCAGGTCACTGCGACTCAGGAGATTAGTGACATAGTGCTGCTCGCGAGGAACATGTGACATCCTTCCTCATCCCTATCACTAGACACCACCGACGAAGAAGTAGTTTTTCATGCGGCAGCTTCTAACTTTCCCTGGGTTGCGCAAGCATGCGCGGTTGAGCATGGCGAATAATGCAGTCCAAAGCATTTCTGAGAGGAAGCTGCCGAGCTGGCTATGGCCTGCAAGGAGGCAGACAAGTACGCTTTCTGTGTTGTGTCGGGGTCGGGATTCCTGGAGCATCGGGCAGCACCTATTGAGCTGATGTGGGCATGAGTGCGTCTGCAGGAACGGACTGCTCAAAGTGCCAAGTCGAAGGCTGTGACGTTTGCGCGCTTTGTCAGAAAGAGACCCGGTGGTGTGGTTTGGCTTGCTCCGGCATCTTTGTACGTTGCGGTTGGTTTCAGACAGAAGGTATGGAGGCCCAAACAGTCGCCGTCTTCCCGTGTTGCAATGGACCGAGGACCTATCCCTGGGTCGCTGTGACGTCTGCCGCGAGGGCTTCGGATTAACACCGGACCGCAGCTGCGAGGCATCCCGCGTACAGCTCACGAGAAAATCGCATACCGATAAAGACATCTTGATAGTTTTGCAACAGCAAGCCACGACTGAAGTCACCGTCCATACAGTCCATACAGTGGCAGTGTAAGGGATACTCGCTTAATTTACCGAACCTTAGACGGCGTTCGGCGATGCACTTTGGCTGAGCGCGCGGTGTTTGAACTTGCCACCTTTGGACCCTGCAAGGCCTGCGCAACCGCCTGCAAACGTTGCACAGGGGCTGGAGCCCTGGAGAGTGAGAACAAAACGCGTGGAGGCAAGCAAGCAGGAGCTCAGAGGCACCAATTACACCACACGCGAGAAAGACCCACCCGCAACCGCTCAGGCAGGTGTCTCTCCAGGCTGCGCAGACGCTCGGCAGCAATGCTGACAGGTGACAGTGCTCTTTCAGGCAATGCGCAATACCACCTTGTGTGAGATCGACCTGCTCTTGCACGTCTCTGTGCTCAAGACCTTGTGTGAAGCCAGGAATGCGTTCCAGGATTTGGGCTGGATGCGGGACGATGCTTGGTCGGAAGCTGATCATGCGGGAAACGCTGACACTGCAAGCATACCACACGGCAAGAAGGTTTCGGGTGCGTGCAGAGGTGGATGTCCACATGTTTCCCTCAAGCTGAAGCTTTTCACCGCAACGGAACCCATGCATTGCTCGCAGACAGACCCCACCAATTACAGAGGCTTGTGCAGATCAGTGTGAGCGCTGTGCTGTCCGTGGGCCTGGTTTCTGCGACGAGGCATCGTTTCGGCATGACCTGCTGATGCATCCCTTCTGACATGTCCTGCACGCTCCGAACACGCAGCCCACCAGCAGGACTCTTGCAGTGTTGGCTGGGTGCAGTCCTCAGCTTCGCGAGGTTTGGCAGGCGTTAGTAGCGGAACTCTATTTTATTTGCTAGCGCAAAGCATCGGAATGGCTTGCAAAGGTTGTTCGGAATGTCAGCGGCCGGGTTCTCAACAGATGGCAAGGGTGTGGATGGCACGGTTGGCTATACATATTTGCTGCCCAGCTGGAAGACGCTGTTCCGCTGTTGCTTCATATCTCAGTTCAGGCTCGGGCTACATCTGCGTGCGCAACAAGATGCCTCATAGCCACGACTTCGGATGAAAACGCCGCTTTGCATTTGCCGTGTTTGTCGGAAATGCAAGATTTACTGTGCGATGGGGACTTATCATTGAGCTTTATTCTGACTAATAGAGACCGTCGAAAATTACACCACAACAGCCGCAACCACAACTTCGTCAACGACACCGCCACCATCGCCTCCATCGCTACCATCACACCACCAACGCCATGACTGGGACCGCCCTGAACAGCATTCATTCACACGCAGCGGGAGAAGTTGTCCTGGGGTGAGAATAAATCCTCGCTTTGCCAGTGTTCGACCTATCTCGCTCTACGGTTTCCTGTTGTCTTCCATGTTCTCCGCTACTCACTCCAACGCTGCAGGCCGTGCCGCAGCCGTGCACCCGCATGCGTCTCGCCTCTGAAGGCAGCAGACTACGTTGTTGCTTAGCAGCTGATTGCAGTTCGACGATGACATGTAACTCTGGTGAAGAGTGCACACTCTTGGCAGGTTTTCGAGTAGCCAAGCCGGTAAGCCTTCATCTCGGGAGAGTCATCGCCCTGTCGGTGGTTCATTTCTTACCACCAGTTCAACGTTAAAGTGCAGTCTATGTGTCAAAGATAGACGCAGTAGAGGAAGGCCAGGAGCTGCTGTGATCGCATCAGAAGCTAATCCTGATGAGCGCGACGGAGCAGCTCCTGTCGCCGTAGGCTCCATGGTAATGATCTCTACACTCCCTGTTCCAGCATGTGAGATGACTGAAGGTGCTACCTTAGGTAGCGCAATCTGTTTTGGGGGAGCGGCTCCTCCCGATCCTGAAGCTGTCTCAGGTCCTCCTGAGAGAGTTTCCGGGGCACGATTTGCTGCAAAGCTCACTGGTCGCAGTGGTGGTGGTCCTGCTGGTGGTAGGTCTGAGGCTAATCTTGGTGTTCCGAATGGAGACGCCTTCATGCTCGGTGGAGCAGTACCCCCTTCTGAGTCCTCAATCTCATGGCTGGAAGGTATGGATCTGCTGGTCCTTTCTGCACGTCGTACCGGTGGGGGTGTCCTTGATGCCTTCCTACCCCAACCACGCTTAGGGGTTTCGGCCATTGAAGTCGAAGGAAGCCAGGCTATGCTCAGATCCTTAACGGCAAAGAAAACAGGAAGCTGTTTGTGACTCAGACTGACGACACGCAGTGAACTATACTACCCTGGCTGACTTGTTTTGGGGCCATGCATCTGAGTCCAAGATATTCAGGGGAGCAACTCCTTCTGGTCCTGGAGAAAAGTCGACTTCGGGGAGTTACTCCTCCGAGGCAAAGGAGGATAAGACCGTCTTAAACGGTCTACATAGTAGCGCCCCATCTGTCATATTTTCTATGATTGAGGCTCTGAAAGTAGAGGATCGAATCCGGAGGGACATCATCTGGGATAATCAGAACTTTATTCCTGCTCTGAAAGAATTCGACCCCATGCGAGATTGCTTTTCTGGGATCAACGGCAACAAGGTGGCATTCTCTCGAAAGCCTGACGTGCCGGAAGCACCTCTGTTCTCAGCCGTAGTGAAGTGTATGTGTTTCCTTCCTTCCTTCCTTCACGACCTCCTCCTCCACTCTTTCCTTTGGTCGAAAGTCTTGCCGGTGGAATGACGCCATTGTCCCGAATGCACTCAAACAGGGACCAGTGCGTGCCATTCAGGATCTCGTCGGGGAGCTTCTCCTCCGACATCTCCTCTAGCATCGCCTCGTCATCCACGTCTGTGCGTGAATGTCCTTGGACAGCCCTAATATATCGGCAGCCGTCAGCCGAGCTGCGGCCGAGTTCGTATCGGCTTTTCTCATTGGTCCTGACGACCTATGGCTTATGGAAGTGCCTCAAGCATGCGGCCAGTGCTTTAGAAAGAGCGATTGAAAAAGCACTTGAGGAGTCGGTGGCTTCTTGTCTGTAAGCGCCTAGACATCCGGGCTCGGATGATGTCCTCCTCGCTTTTCTGATGCTCCTGAGCCCGCAGCCGGAGGCTGCTTCCGGCTGCACTGATGAGGGAGTTGCTCCACTCGGCTCCTGAGGGGGAGAAACTCCTCCCTCAGGGCCCTTCGGGGGAGTATCTCCACCCGATGGCTTCGAAAGCGATACAGCCCCCGAGCTTGCTCGTGTGCTGATCTGCAGACCAAGAGCTGTAAAAGCCCCCCGCGTATTTGACAGCGGGACTTCAAGTGCACCTGCCCACTCCCGCACGTAGTCGCCGAGCACCAGGTCCCCTTTGGTGACGATCTGAAGCAGGAGAGCGTCAAACCGAACCGAGTCAAGTCCGAAGTTGAGCTGGTTGGTCTGCTTCCCCTTTTTCAGAGAGCCTGCTGGGTCAGTCGTCACCTCGACCATCGCTGGCAGGAAGACGTGCTTCGGGCCGTATCGTGTCAAGGGTGGGTGCGTACCCCTCGGCAAGGTGGCGATTGGGGGTGCGGTGAAGGTAGACTCCTGGCCTCTGAGCAAAGTGGCGAGCCCCCTCTATCGCCTCCAAAGAGGAAGGGAGCACCGGGGACCAGCAAAGAGTGAATGCACTTTATGTGAGGGCCATGGTAGGCTCGCTCCGTGTGGCTCGAGCTGAGGTCGTTCGGAGCCTTGTCTGTACACGAAGCGAAACCACTGATTTGCCTCTGCTGTAGGGCTACTCAGGAGGAAGAGCAAGTTCTCGTTGCTGAAGCCAGGTCTGCTCGCTAGGAATGTCGCAAGGAGCGACTCTGCAGTGGCGACCGGTTTCTTCGCCATCTGAGTAAGGCCCTCTTTGAGGCTTTTTGTTACAGCCACTGAAACACGGTGCTCGTTAAGATCTTTGATAGATCCATCGCATCCTGCCTGCAAGGAAGGAAAAGGAGTAAAGCCAACTTCAGCCAGGTGAATGACCGCTTCCTGAAACCTCTGGTCCTCTTGTGCCCCCCTGGAGGGCTCTTTTGTAGTGCCAGAGCCGGCAGAGGGAGCATCTCCACTCTTTGCCTTGGCTGTTGGGGGGAGTATCTCCGCCCTCTCCTTCATTGGTTTGTCTCTTTCTAGTCGGCTGTGAGGCGTCGGGGGAGGATCTCCACCCTTTCCCTTCGACTGCATGTCCGTGGCAGCGCCTTTGCCTTTGTAGTGCGGGTAGTCCTCTCCATGCGATCTTGCTGATCTTCTCCATTGTCTCAGAAAATTTTTATATGATACGACAGGCAGTTGCTGCTGCTCTCGCTGGCGGCAGAAATCGGCATATTCCGCCTGGACTGATTGGTCCTGATTGGACCTCTGAGACATCCTAAGGAAGATTGTTGGAGTTGAGGGGGGCTGGAGGAAGACCTACCGTTACTAACTCGTGACAGAGCAAAGGCCTGCCTGTGTCATGGGTGGACAGGTGACAAGCTGCTGTGAGCACGAGCTACAGTCTTGTTTGATTGCTTGCCAAACGACATGTGAGGTCGAAGCTGAGGCCACGACAGCGACATGGATAGTGAGACCTTCAGAGCATGACGAATTCGTGGAACATTGGTTTATGACAGGTATGCTTGCAGCTCGCCAAATTATTTGCCCATGCAGCCTCGCGGAGGATCTCCTGCGTGCTACTTCCTACCCAAGCAGAAGCTGTGGCCAAGTATTACCCCCTAATGGTGACTGGGGGTAACCGACAGTTGCTGAGGCAAGCCTTCGCTGAGCTTTGGACGCAGGCGGAGCAACTCCAGCGCGTCCTCACAGTAGTGCAATGGACAGCAGTAAATGACTTGATGAGTCGCGAGTGCACCGCAGCAGGAAAATTTCTGCATGCTCGCAGCGATGATCGGTCAAGTTTGAAAAACCCTGTGAGTTACCCCTCAGTGGGGGGAGTTGCTCCTCCCCTGGGGAGTAACTCCGAACAGAAGGGGAGGAACTCCACCTTCAGCACATCTCTTACTTCAGTCAGAAGCTCCTCTTGCTACCTTGGCCTAAGCTCCAGCCCCGGAAGGATTTCGTTGTAGCGGATTACTTGCTGCTTGCACAACGATGAGTGTATCATCGCTAGCACTCCTGCCCCCTTTTCGCCCATGGAACCTGAGCTCACTACGCGCCAGTCCTCCTTGGTGAACTGCCAGCTACCCCTCCAGTGAGTCTCCTGAATTGCCACTATTTTGACTGAACTATATGTTGGTGTTTCAGCACGGAAAATAACTCTTCCCATGCTGAGGTCGTGAGAGACCCTGCGTTCCAACTGAGATAGGCGACCGCTCCAGAAAAGCAGACTGGTGCGTTCTTCTCGAGTGCACTTGAGTCTTTGGTGGCGCTGGAGTACCTCCTAGCTCCTGTAGTGTCATCTGTCTACCCCTGTATTGTGCGGAACCTTCTTGTAGAGCTTTCCTTACGGCTTTGTGGTAAGAACGTTTGGCGTTCCCTTTGGGTGCCGGCTGATAATGTTTGGTCGAAACACTAGGCTGTTTCGTTAGGCTCATGTCAAGCCTAACTCCTGTCGGCTGCGCTTAACCGACAACCCTCACCTCTGGAAGCGGAAGAGAAATCTGTAAATCTTAGGTTCCCCCCCGGACTTGGGACCGGGACAGCTCAGGCGCTGAAGAATGCCATGGCGAGTAAGGAAAAGGCAACTGTACTAGCCTGACCTTGCCTGCGCCGAGAGGCTTGAACAGCAGCAACCACAACAACAACAGTCAACTCCTATACTGTACACCACGTCTGTGTGATTTTCCTGTTCCGTCTACCTGCAAGACAACCTGTATGCACATCGTCACATTCACCGGCGTCTCGGGGCATGCCCGCGTCACGTAGGCGTGGGCAAGTGATTCGTCATCTCTCTGTTGTCGATGCTTGCACGACAGTCTTGCTCAAGCCATGTGCCAATCATGCTGATCTTTCAGAACCCAGAGCGGTAAGCTCCGACGTGACCTCACCTAAATGCCCGAAATCCTGAGGCCGGACTTCGCATGACGTAGCATAGCACCAACAACAGACTTTGCAAGTTACACAACCTGCTTCGCGGATTGCTCGCAGCTGCCAGTGATGAGCATTCTGCCACGCGGAAGCAAATGCTGTTGCGCTTGGACATAACCTGTGTGTCAAAATTCGCTATGGTCATGAGCGTTGGTCGCCGTGGTATAGTAGTAGTAGTCGTAGTAGTAAGTAGTAAGTACTAAGTTGTAAGTTGTAAGTAGTAGGTAGTAGTAATAGTAGTAGGTGATTGTAGCAGGCGATTTTACTTTTCAAATATCTACATAGATATATTGAATTCATAGCGAAAATGAATTATTTAGTCCAAAGTTATCGACTTAATTAAATTTAATGAATCCAAAAAAGGATTGAGAAAAATAAAAAACGTCCGATTGCTTGATTGAATAATTAATTAAAGGACCGGATAACCCCACATGTAAACATCCCAGTAGGAGAATGAAGGAGTGTGTGAGTAAACAGAGGAGTGAGTGCTGGATCGTGTATGATGTGCACGCGCGAGTGTGTGTATCTGTATGTGAAAGACATATCAGGAGCTCGAACTGAACCGTCTGACCCACGGGATCTTGTGCCAGTCGGCGTAACATGGCCCGATACTTTGGCAACACGGTCTCCATGTCTGCGCTCACGGCGCCTAGATCCACGGCTTCTTTTTGAACTACTAGAAGCAATGGATGCTGAGTGTCCGCCACGTTCGGAGTCAGGAATGCTTCCATGTAAGCTACACCCTCGTGCCGACACAGCCGACGATGACCGTCTGTGGCAGAGTCCATATTGATGACGTGCAACGCATCCTTGACCGATTGCGGCACTGCAACTTGTTTGAAGAATTGATCCGTGCCCCCAGTATCTGGAGCAACGCGGGCGGCCCTGGCGAGATCTTCGGCCTTCAGCTCCCCTACCTTCCTTTCGCGAACGCTATACCCCCGTTCTTCAGAAAATTGTAGGACGCGGCCCGTTGATCGGTCAAGCGAGACTCCGTCGCCATCATGTGTAATGCCGTCCAATCACCGGAGAATCGATTTTGCAGGGATTGACTTCCCACTACGGGTCGCCCCCTCCTCTGCCTCATTATTTGGCTCGCCGTCCACTACGTACGCAAGCTCTTCGCGCAAGAGCAAGCATGCAGCCCACTCGGATGTGGACAGGTTGGTGTCCCTCTCGAAAAGATTTCCGGCATCGCCATACCGCCATAGTCTGGGCTTGGCCATGACCCATATCTTCCAATCCCACAAACTCAACGGCTGCTTTTCGCGTGCCACCAGCAAATGTGCCGCCTGTTCGTGCTCCTTTTTTGCATCCCTGTGCTGGGAATCGGCTTCTGGCACAGCCCGACCGTTCTCCTGTCCTCCACCGGGCTGCCCAGGGTCTGCTTCTGACGCAACTTGGCAATCCTCCTGTTCTGCATGTGTCCGTAGAAGATCTGCTTCCGGAACATGCAGCCATTTGGACTTGCCCATGACGGCATCTCGCAATTCCCGCTCCAGGCGACTTTGCTTCTCCGCAGCGGAGAGTTGCCTGCAGGAGTCATGAATCTGACGACAGAAATCCAAAATCGTTTGGCGACCCAGCTCGTCCACCAGAGTACACTGCTCGTCCACCATGGTTTCTATCTCCAACGCAACCGACCGAGCGCCTGCCTCCTGCAGCTCTTCCAGCTTCTGCAACATGCTCACAACCAGCATAGAGATTTCTCGGCCATGAGCATTAAAGTCCTGGACTTGCGGCTCCATGGCAAAGACGCATGTCTCGGACGCCGAAGAATTACGAGCTTGCTGAGCAACTTCGGTCGCCTCGGCAGGCCCGCTTTGCCGAACGACACCGGGCCCGTCCTCGCCAACAGGAACAGCCACCACGCAATCCAGCACCGGAGGAGGCACAACAGCATCCTGCGCTTTTTTAATCAGACACGACACAGATGAGAAATAATAATGTCACGAAACATAAGAAACAAAGAAATGAATGCGCGTGAGTGTCTGTGTGTGTGTGTGCGTGAGAAGAGAAGGAGAGGAGGAGAAGAGGAGGAGAGGGGGAGGAGGAGGAGGGGGGGGAGGAGGAGGAAGAGAAGGAGAAGGAGGAGGAGGAGGTGAGGTGGGACAGCCCCAAAAAGTATTAACCCCACAACATGATGTGGGGAATAAGCAGATAATCTAATATCGAAGACTTTATATATGATTTCAGAAATCATAATAAGCTTTGAGATGTTTAGGAAAAGAAAATGTTGTTAAATTCTTCAAAAATTTTTATAGGATGCTATATATTTATTTTTTAGCAATGTGTTTTCTGTGAATTATAGAAAGACTTTTCAAACTATCATGATTCGTATTTTGAATAATTTTGATATTATATATTATTATTATTGCTTGTGATTTGAGAGATATCTTTTTTGGGTAAAAATGATTTCGATAGAAATCGTTTTCTTATTTTCATTAAATTGGTAAACGAAATATAAATATATATATATATATATAAATCAATTTTTCAGAAATAATACATTATTCATTATTTTATTTTTGATTTACTTCTTAATGGAAAGAATGGATCAAGAAATTTGAATTCGGGCTTTATCTTTCAAATTTGGGTTTGAACCTGAGTTTGAGCCGGGTTGAAATTAATTTTCTATGAAATTAATTCATCCCTGGCTAGAATATCATGATAATATAACCTATCCCGAATTTAGGCTCCAAATTTCTCTTGAGACCATATTTCGTTCTTTACAACAATATTTTCAAAAATTTTATATAAACTTCATTCATTTGAAATTTGTCGATATTTAAATATTAGAAAATTCTATCAAATATTCAATATGTTTCTATAATATCTGGGAGAATTTCTTTTAACTTTGCAAAAAAAAATATTCGAAATATTGAAATATAATTCCATACAAATAATACGATTTTTTTCATAAGAATAAAATTCCGAAAAGAATTATTTTTTGATTCAATATTTTCAAGAAAATTGAAATTATAAAATTTCTATATTTTTAATATAATTTGATTATTAAAATAAATTATTTATATTAAAAAATATAATTTCTTTATGTTTAATTTAAAATAAAAATTAATTCTTCATACTTTTCTATCTTATTGATTCTAAAAAAATATTTTCTTTTTCAAATTTTTGAATAAAATCATCACCAGAATAAAAAATATATATACCATTTTTTAAAAATATTCTATCAAGAAATTATATCTTATATTTTTCAGAATATAAATAAATTTTTCTGAATTCATTTCGAGAATTCATATATGACCAAAACCAATTCAAAATAATTTAATTGAATATTAATTACATTTATAAAATATAATTGAATTTAGTAGAAATAAATTCATGATTGAACATATATGGTTTTATCGAAAAATTTGTTTGGTGCACAGAAACTTCTAACTCTAATATTCATGCGCGGCATGTACCTTGTCTCAAAAATTCAAGATACCAAGCTCATACTTTCAATGGCAATATTTTTTTGTCACGATAAAAAGGAAAAATTGCGTATTGTGCTGCCTATTTACAATAAAAAACAATTTGTGGTCCGTCATCTCTCCAAATTCACCAAATTCTTTTTGTTTCGTTTTGCACGGCATGAATGTCAAAAAAAACTTTGTGTAATGCACTAGCTGCCAATTGAATGTTTTTCAAAATGCGAATCGAAAAATCGACAAGAAAATTGTTGTCAAGAATGGATGTGAAAAAATTCCAGTTTTTCGATTTCATTTGATTTTGGAAATACATTTTACAACTTCCTTCGTACGATGTCCGCACACGCCAGGAAAATACGTAAAAGACAGCGAATTTCTTTTGCCCGACAAAAAGGTGGGAATATCAGTGTATTACATGATATTGAATTAAATAGATGAATGTCATTGACGACACATGCTCATCAAAATTACTTTTTCGGTTTGTTCGGTGAAAAAAATGTCGCATTCTTTTGCGCGAAAAAAAAAAGGATGTTTGGTCCCGATAAAATGGAGGCAGCCACCCCACCCCCTCCACACCGGAAACGCGGGAAACGGCGGAACTTTAGATCCGGTCAAGGTTTGTTCAAAACTACATAGCCGTCAAGTTTATTGAATTCTCACAACATGGATGTTCAGCTGAAGTAATTTTCGTTGAGTTCGCGCGAACGCTTCGGGTAACTGGTGCACCCCAAAATCCTTGACGGGAGGCGAGAAGGTTCAAGCTTTCTGCTTTTTTCATGCCAAGCGAAATGGGTTTAGTTTTCTTGGCTTCGTGAAAATTTGAAATTCCCGACGACTATTGGGTTTGCCCAAACAAAATAAAGATTTATGAGAAGCAAGACGGACCCGCAAAAATCTAGAAAAACCAAAAATCAGTTACGGCTGGGTTCGGGCAACAATAAAGCGGTTGTTTTGGACCTAGAAAAATCTTCAAATATTTAAAAAATAAAAAATAAAGTTAGAAATCATTATTTCTGAAAATAAAGAGTCTTAATATATATATATATCAAATAATATATTATTGAACAAATATATAGAGCTTCATCTTCAAATAATCAAATATAAAATATTAATTCTGCTCTGATTTATTTGGTCCTGGGCCGATCTGAAAAATGATAGAGAATCAATTCTAAAGCGGTTAGACTAAAATAAAAAAATTATAAAATATTCTATTTTGCTTAGAAATATTCTTGAGATATATATTTACTTTATATAAACAAATAATTCAAAAATAATAAATTATAAAAGAAAACGAAATATAAGACGGCTAGGCTTATATAGAAATATATGAGAATAATTAACCATTGTGAATAATTATGAAATAATTAAATCACTGGGCCGAAATAGAATACTCGTAGAATAGATATTTATATCATGCGAAATAAAAAATAACAAAAAATATAATAACTAATTATTATTATAAAAATTATCAAAATGAGAAAATACCTAATTTTTTAATAATAAAAAATCATAAAATCTAGAAAAGAATTCTTTTTAGAAATTAATCAAATTTGATATAACCAATCCGATATAGAAAAATCAAGAATATACAGAATATTTGAAAAAATAATCGAAATTTTCGAAGTTTTAAAAATAAATATTTATAAAAATATATAAATATTTTTAATTTATTCATAATCATTATATAGGAAATAACCAATTATATTAATTATTATTCTTTTCTTAATAATTAATATTTTATCGATACAACTAACCTAATCAAATAAGAACTATAAAATATATGAGAATATCTTATTCTTTGAAAAAATCCTATTCTAATTATCAAGGACCTCAATAATCTACGAACATATTATTCTAATCAATATTTTGCAGCATTTCTTTGTGGAATCTCTTCGTTTATAACACACGCCATTTTGTATCGTTAATGGGCAGCATTGATAAGGGGCTCTTATGCTTGCAATAGGTAAGTTTTTTTTGGGAAGTATATAGTATTATTTCTATAACAAGGAACCCTCAAAAAATCATAATGGCGAGCCCCCCAAGTATTACTTAGACCCCGAGGCCCCTATATTTAGTTAGCATTGAGTATGGCTATTTTCAACCGTGAAAAAACCATAGACCCCACCCTATACTTTTAACCCCTTTTAAGAACTACATACCAATCCAAACCTTCCAATTTTCACCTCAAAACCCCTCCAACCCCTACCCCTATCCCAAAAACACCCTTTCCACTCTCACCCCCTCAACGCCTCACCCCTAAACCCTTCGAAAAACCCCACCTTAAGACCCCCACCTAGCAACAACCTTAACCCCATTGCCTGTATCCTTCAAAATTCCCCACCTCAAGAGCAACCTTAACCCCAATCCTTAAACCCTTCCAAAAAACCTCCAACTCCCAAAACCTCAACCTTCTCACCCCAAACTCCAACCCCTGAAACTGGACAAGGTCGCTCTCGTAGAATTTAACAAAACAATATAACCATAATAAAATCATAATCCATAACTTTTTATGAAATACAATTTTATTATAATTATGTTGTTTAATATCTACATTCAAATAAATCCTGAACTCTCTCTAATAAATCATCTTCAAAATAGTCTTTATAATTTTTCATCACATACCACAGATATACGCATACAATATCACAAAATAATTTTTTTATTGAACTCTCTAAATGTATCTTCTCCGTAATGATACATTTCATCGTA